TATCCTATATCTATCCATATCTATCTATCTATCTATCTATCTATCTATCTATCTATCTAATCTATCCTTTATCTATCTATCTGTCTATCTAATTATATATCCTATATCTATCTATCTATCTATCTATCTATCTATCTATCTATGTATCTATCTATCTATCTATCTATCTATCTATCTATGTTATCCTATATCTATCCGTATCTATCTATCTATCTATCTATCTATCTATCTATCTATCTATCTATCTCTATTTATCTATCTATCTATCTATCTATCTATCTATCTATCTATCTATCTATCTATCTATCTAATTATATATCCTATATCTATCTAATCTATCTAATTATATATGCTATATCTATATCATCTATCTATCTATCTTTCTATCTATCTATCTATCTATCTATCTATCTATCTATCTATCTATCTCTATCTATCTATCTATCTATCTATCTATCTATCTATCTATCTGTCATATTATCTATCCTATATCTATCTGTCTATCCATCCATCCATCCATCCATCCATCCACCCATCCAAAAACTATCCAAACTCTTTTATACTTTCTGCCCTGGTGGCCACCTTTCCTATACGGGCCTCCTCATCGAAGGGTCGAGTAAGAACCATCTGAGCCCTGGAGAAGCTGGATATCTGCGCTCCAGGCAAGGCTGCCCATCCCCGAGGCATCCATGTCGCCCTGTGTCCATAAATAGTCGGAGGAGCTACGGCTACGCAATTGATTTATCTTGGCGGGCCTCACATGAGCCTCAGAGAAGCAGCCTGTGTTCTCCTCTGCATCATGGGACGGGTTTTCTCGTGTTGTTTTCCTGGATTGTGGCTTTCCTAATTTCATAAAGGATCTTATGGCCGCAACATCGGCCCACAAAGTCCCTTTTCAGGGGGTCAATGGGAATTTCAAAGCATTGCTAACTAACTGGCTGTCAGGTTTCCAAGTAATGAAATCCGTGTTAAAAGTAAAATGGCTGCTCCATCACTGGAGGTTTTTCAGAAGAGACTGGACAGCCATTTGTCTGGAATGGTAGAGGGTCTTCTGCTGGAGAAGGGGGTTGGACTAGAAGATCTCCAACGGCCCTCCCGGGCTCTATTCTGAATTTTCAGTGGTCACTCAGCTTGGTGGTTTTCTTGCAGGCGTTTCATGACCCAACTAGGGAACATCATGTAGAAGTGGGTGGGGTTTGTGGGCCGGAGGAGGAGAAGGAAGAAGAGGAAAAGGAATGGAGGAGGAGGAAGAGGAGGAGGACGGTGGGGGTCCTTGGTGCTCTCTGAGTTTTGTGGTTTCCTTGCAGGCGTTTCATGACCCAACTAGGGAACATCATCAGTGCTAAAAGGGAGTGGGGTTTGTGGAGAGGAGGAAGAGGAGGAGATGGGGGGGAAGGAGGACTATAAGGTCCATGGTGCCCTCTGAGCTTGGTGGTTTTCTTGCAGACGTTTCATGACCCAACTAGGGAACATCATCGGTGCTAAAAGGGAGTAGGGTTTGTGGAGAGGAGGAGGAGGAGGAGGAGGAGGAGGAGGAGGAGGAGGAGGAGGATTATGGGTGCTTTGTGCTCTCTGAGCTTGGTGGTTTTCTTGCAGACGTTTCATGACCCAACTAGGAAACATCATCAGAGCTAGCAGGGAGTGGCATTTGCAGAGAGGAGGAGGAAGAGGAGGAGGAGAAGGAGGAGAGGGGCTGGGAGAAGGAATGAAAGGGAGCCCGAAGGAAGGAGGAGAAGGCCACCCAAGGCTTATTATTGTCTACCTCGCAGGGGTGTGTCAAATCCCCATGGTCTCTCTCCTTGCTTTGCCAAAAGGCCTTATGGCTCATCAGTCGCCTTTGGGGACCCATAATCCCCAACTCTCCCTTTTCAGACTTCCCCAAAGACCTGGGACACAGGAGTGACCTTCACCGGAGAGGCTCCCTCTGCGACCGACACTGTGCGGCCCTGAACAACCTCCACGGGGACCTGGCGGACATGCATTCGGAGTCCCATCCGCTCCTGCCCCTCAGGATCCCTTCAGGTAAAGGGGCCTCGGGGTGCGAGAGACGCTCCTTTTGGGAGCGGGGGGGGCGGCATTGTAAGTGGAGAAGATGGACGCCGCCGTGATTTAGTCCATACGGGCAGTCCTCCGCCGACAAGCGCAATAGATGTCCGTTGCTAAGCGAGACAGATGTGAAGTGAGTTTTGTCCTCCTTTACGACCTTTCTGGCCACCGTGGTTAAGCGAATCACAGCCGCTCTTGAGTTGGTAACACGGTGGTGAAACGAATCAGGCTTCCCCATGGATAGAAGGTCACCAAAGGGGAACATAAGACCACCACCCCCTTGGGGGGGGGGGCACCACAACCGTCATAAATACGAGTCAGTTTTTAGGATCCCGCTACCATGGGGATGTTGCAATGGCTGTAAGGGTGAAAAACGGACCTAAACATCTCTCAGCCCCTCTCTTAAGAGACAAAAGCCAGCTGAGAAACCAGAGTTTTTTTGCAGGAAGCAAATAAGTTTTTGCACTTGAGCCTTGTGGATGTTTGGACTCTCTTAGTTTATGTTTGGAGACTCTTTGTGTTTGAAATATTTCTTGACAACTTTATCCAGTGTTCTTGGCAGCCTTGCACCACCTTGGCAAGGCTTGTCCTTATCGGAGACAATTAGTTTGAAACAGCCTTTTAACCGGGAAGGAAGGGAATTCGTAAAGAATCATTAAAAGGTTTTGCTGTTACCTCGGTTTGGTGTTTACTTCCTTGGAACAAGGTTTGGGTCAGAACAGTCATCCATCATGCTCTCCAGTAATAATCTTGCGAGCCAATAGTTTCGGCTGCCTAACAATTATCTGAGGCATTTAAGGAATGCACTGCTTTTCCCCACTCCCTTTCTGCTGGCAACTAAAAAGACCAAAGAAGTATTTTTTTTAGTTGACATTCCTGCACCACAGCGAGAGGCCCGTTTTTCGCCCTGCCCGGATTCTGGAGGCTATTCGTGAGCCGCTGGGAGGCCCATTTTTGCCCTCCCTGAGCCTCTGCGTGGGTCCGGTACTTACCTGGGATCCAAAACGGGCCTCATGGAGACTCCTGGGCGGGGCAGGTGGGCAGGGTCAGCAGATTAGCAACCAGTTCAGGTGAACCGGGGCGAACCGGTAACCAGCCACCCCTGGGACTAGCTGTATCTCCAAATGCTGGAGAGAGCAATAATTGAAATTCGTATTTATATTTATATTCTTGATTATTTATTTAAAAGCAATAATTTAAATTTGGTGGGAGAGCAGGAATAGCAAAAGTAATAGCACTTATATACTGCTTTATAGTGCTTTACAGTCCTTTCTAAGAGGTTTACAGAGTCAGCCTCTTGCCCCCAACCAACTGGGTCCTCATTTTACCCACCTCGGAAGGATGGAAGGCTGAGTCAACCTGGAGCCTGGTGGGATCTGATCTGCCAAATTGCAGGCAGCCTGCAGGCAGCCGAAGTAGCTTGCAGTACTGCACTCTAACCACTGCACCACTGAGGAATAGGCTGTTAATCCTGAAAACAAGGGGACTTTCTACTGCAAACCAGCCTTGAAAATCAAATTATTCACAGCGATTACATGTCTTTTAGGAAGAATGGATGCATTGAGGGGCCGACGTCCTACCCACCCACCCCCCCAAATCTAAGGCCAGGGGAAGAAAGAGGGAGGGGGCCACTTTGTAGATGGGGGGGGGGTTTCAAATCCAGGCCACGGGGCCTGAGAAGACCTACTCACTCTCAACGAGGTCTTTGAAATGTGGCTTACACTACAAGTAGTCCTCGTTGAGTGACTGTTCGAAGTTACAACAGCACTGAAAAAAGCGATGGAGGGCCCATTGCCGCATCCCTGTGATGACGTGATCAAAATTCAGACACAGCCTCACCATCAGGAGGCTGTGGGTTCAAGCTTAGGTGGAGGCAAATATTTCTCCCTCTGGGCACAATGAGAATATATCTGCCGAATATAACCCCACATTGGTGACAGGAGGGGCATCCGGCCAGTAAATTCTCAGCTCCATTTAGTTGCCTGGACTCCACCCTGCATGGGATTATGGAGTCATTAAATTAAGATGATGATTGGCAGATTAAACTGTGGTTTAATGGGATGCCAGGCCAAGGTCTGCACCAACTTCTAACCTCCCTCTGTTTACCTAGTGGTCTCCAGCCAGGGCTGCTGCCTACATCACTCCGAGGAAGTTCAGACGTGCGACAGATGCCTGCAGAAGATGAGACTTATGGCCGAGAACGAGGTGGAAGCCCACCGTCTCTCAAACAATTACAAGGTTGGCGTGCGAGGGTCTCCTTGGGCTGGGGAAGGAGGAAAAGCCGAGTTTGGGGGTGCCAGGGGTGTGCGAGGGGGACACGGTAACTATCTTAGCAATGGTCCCTGGAGAAAGGAAGATCTTTATGGTGCTTCATTTAGTGACCGAAGTTACAACAGCTCTAAATAAGGACTTAAAACCCGATTCTCACTGTTGCAACCACAAGCGCCCTCGTGGTCACGTGATCAAAATTCAGAGGCTTGGCAACTGGCATGTACTTATGACAGTTGCAGTGTCGCAAGGTTACATGATCCCCATTTCGAACGTCCGACCAGCGAACCGAAGGGGAAACCAGGTTAATTTAACGACCGTGTTACTAACTTAACACTGGCAGCGATTCACTTAACCCCTGTGGCAAGAAATGTCATAAAATGATGCAAAACTCAACCAATTCCTCACTTTTTTAAAAAACAGTTTATTTATACATTTTCATTTAACGTACATAAGTGCTCTGTGAACAGTATAATGTCTGGGTCAATTTGCTTACATAATTTTTTTTCCTCTCTCCTATTTTCTATCTCTATTATCCAACCATTTATAAAATAAAGTCCCATGCGAAAATCCAACCATTTTCTTTTCCTTTTCTCTTTAATGTCAGTCAGTCTATCCGTTTGTGCACAATCTAATATTTTTTAATTGCATTTTCTTCTCTCTGAGTTTCCTCCTTTTTCCAATATTGTGCGCAATTCTTGCTGCTGTCCAAACATGTCATATGAAATACAAATTCTTATCATATTTTTTTTGCATTATACTTAACAAAAATATTTCTGGCTTATAATCTATCCGCAGCTTTAACGTGTTTTTTTTCCTGACTATGTATGTATTTTTGTCTGATATTTCTTTGCTTTCAGACATGTCCACCGCATGGGGTGATAAGTGCCCGGTGTCTGATTACATTTCCAGCAAAAAATTCCTCACTTAACCAGATGAATTCTGGGCTCAATTGTGGACATAAATTGACGATTACCTCACAGGGGTGTGCTGTTACCAGTTCGCCCCGGTTCAGACGAACCGGTTGCTAATTTTATCATTTTTAATTACTAGTTTGGCAAACTGGTAAATCCCACCCCACCCCACCCCTGCCCCTCCCTTCCCGCCCTTCCCAGGAGCCTCCACATGGCCCGTTTTGGATGTGAGGAAAGTGCAGGGCCTGCACAAAGACTTAGGCGAGGGCCAAAAATGGGCCTCACAGACAGGGGTGGGATTCAACCAGTGTTACTACTGGTTTTGGTGAGAGTGTGTTTTGGTGGGTGGGCCAAATACACGACCAGAAGGTCATTGCAGCGAACTGGTTCGGTGTCAGCTGCTCTTCTATAGAACTGGGCCGAACTGGTAGCATCCCTCCCCTGCTCCCGGAGGCTTCAGAAGGCCAGAAACAGGCCCGTTTCTGGCCTCCAGAGGGCCTCCGTATCCTGGGGGAGGCCATTTTTGCCCTCCAGGAGGCTCAACAAAAGCCTCCGGAGCCCAGGAAGGGCAAAAACAGGCCCCTCCCCATGGTGCAGGAGGCCAACTAGGCCACGCCCACCATGGCCAGGCCCACCCAGCAGCCGGGCAGAGAACTGGTTGCTAAAATTTTTGAAGCCCACATCTGATTACTTGTATATAGTCAAAATTTGGACAATTAACAACTGGCTCGTTTTTTTAAAAAAAATATATTTTAACAACCAACATTTTTTATGGATAGTGTAATCGAATAGAATAGAATTCTTTATTGGCCAAGTGTGGTTGGACACACAAGGAATTTGTCTTGGTGCAAATGCTCTCAGTGGTCATAAAAAGAAAAGATACATTTGTCAAGAATTATCAGTTGCAACACTTAATAAGAGTCATAGGGTACAATCAGCAATCAAATCATACTAGGAAACAGTCCATATAAATCGTAAGGATACAAGCGACAAAGTTATACAGTCATGCAGTCACAAATGGGAGGGGATCGGTGATAAGATTAGTAAATAGTTGGACATTGTTGTGGGAATTACTTCTTTAGCAGAGTGATGGCATTCGGAAAAAAACAGTTCTTGTGTCTAGTTGTTCTGGTGTGCAACAATGCTCTGTATAATGTCATTTTGAGGGTAGGAGCTGAAACAGTTTATGTTCATGATGTGAGGGGTCTGTAGATATTTTCACAGTCCTCTTTTGGACTCATGAAGGATACAGGTCCTCCATGGAAGGCAGGTTGGTAGCCATTGTTTTTTCTGCAGTCCTAATTACCCTCTGTGTCTGTCCTGTTGGGTTGCAGGACCAAACCAGACAGTGATAGAGGTGCAGATGACAGACTCAGTAATTCCTCTGTAGAACTGGATCAGCAGCTCCTTGGGCAGTTCGAGCTCTCTGAATTGGCGCAGAAAGAACATTCTTCGTTGTGCTTTTTTGATGACATTTTTGATGTTAGGTGTCCATTTTAGGTCTTGTGATATAGTAGAACCTAGAAATTTGAAGGTCTCTGCTCTTGATGCTGTGTTGTCTAGTATTGTAGGAGGTGGTAGTACGGGAGGGTTTCTTCTTTTAATGACTGGGTTAATATATTTCACACACAATGTTAACAGTAATAATACAATTACATATACAGAGTTTTTCTCTTCCATCTTCTAGCCTTGATATACTCATTATAATTATAACATTTTATGTATCAATATATATTATACCATTTTCCCAATTTGTACTTATTTTTTTTATTTTCCTGTTCGTTGGATTTTTTTTTTCTATATTCACCTCATTGTTTTTAAACAATATTATTCTCTCTTTGTAGTTTGTTTATCACTTTCCCCCCAAAATATATGTAGATATCAATAACATTTCTTCATCCAATATACTTATTACTGTTAAGTTACTAATACTTTAATATTATCACTCAGTGTTCCACACATTTTCAATAGCACGAATTGCAGTCATAAATTGAGGACTACCTGTATACAGTCAAAATTCAGATGATTAACAATGGCCTCGTACTTACGACGGTTTGCGGTACAAGCAGAGCGAGCAAACTGTCTCAATTACCAAGGGAAAATTTGGACAGCAATTTGAGGATTACGTGTATGTGTGGTATGAAGAGAAATCGCTTTTCGTATTCCTTTAGTAAATTCATTTTTTTGTTTTTGGTGAAAGTGTGCTAGCAAGCAGAATCTTTTTAAAAAAAAATTCTTTATTGAAATTCAAAATATTAAAAAGTTTACAAACTTCAAAATACCAAAAAGTTTACAAAAATTTCTATAATAGAAGATGTATCAATAACTTTCAACATTGTTTTCTTGACAGTACAATAAGTACAGTACATATAATTAACACTTGACATTTATAGTATTAGTAATACTAGTTCACAGTGCCTTAATAAAAAAGTAATTCATATATATAGGTTGATGGTTCAAAGAAGAGAAAAAATATCATATTAACACTAAGTACATCTATATACCTAAAAAAGGTCAGAGATAAATGTACATAATTATAGTCTATGTACTATGCTCTATATATAGCCATAAGAGATGAGGTATACATTTTTAGCTATACAATATTACTACATCAGTATTATAAATCTAAATATGAATATTTATATAAATCTCCATTTTCTGACATTCTAAATTTCAATCATTTCTCATTGATCCTATCTATATACCAATATGCCAATATTATTTATTCTTTGGACCAATATTTATCATATTTTACTGTCTACCCATTCATACCAAATATTCCAGATTTAGTAATATTCTGAGTCTTCTTTGTCTACTTAATTTCATTGTGAGTCTATCCATCTCTGCACATTCCAAGATTTTACGAATTATGTCTTCATCTGACGGAGTGGTAGACATTTTTCAAGCCTGAGCTACCACAATTCTTACCCCCGTTATTATATGTATAATCAGGTATCGGATCTTTTGACGGTATTTATCTTTAAATTCATTTTAATTCACATTTGTCGTCCTTCTTCACACAGTTTGGATTTAAGAAATGGAAGAGCCATGTCACGGCTCGGCCATGGGAGGAACGGTCAGAAATTGTCAAAGAGCTCTACTCCGACCTGACTATCATCAAAAGTCCAACAGGTAAAGTCTAAGGCTAGGATTAGACCAACTGAACAGCCTTGAGAGAACAGCTACAGCCCAGCTTACAGAATCATTAGAATAACAGAGTTCGAAGGGACCTTGGAGGTCATCTAATCTAACCCCCTGCTCCAGCAGGAGCACATAGAATATGATGACCCAAAGGGGCATGGCACAAAGGCAACCCAGTCAGATAATCCGTAGGAGTCCCTTTATTAGCTCCAACTTTTCCCCCAATGTCCTTGTTACCTTCTGGGCTGGAGAAAAACTCTCCCAGGAACAGCCTTTGGCTGCAAAGAATCCAGTCCACAACGTGGTCAACAAAAACTGTAACTATAAGTCCAATTGAGGCTAAATGAGGTCATTGGTCCAGCAGGGCAGGAGAAGGAATTCCAGATGTGAAGGCACGGCAATAATTCAACCTGGTTAGGAGGATGCCAGGAACACAGATAACCAAAATCAACACAAGATAAACTCACGTTGGTTCCCAGCAGCTGCCGCACTCAGCATGCATCTCTTTTAAACTCTCATTCCCAGCTGTGGCTAATGAAGGGAATCAGGTCCCTTTCCTCCCCTGTAAGCCACACAACCCACGTTGCTCCCTTCTCCGTTCCTCCCTGCATGCCCTAGGATGAAGAGAGGGGTGGGCCTGGGTCTTCCTCTGAACTCCCTCTCCCTTGTTCTACCTCTCCCCCGCTCTGCCCAACTGGGCTTTGCCCTTCCCCAGTTTCCTCCACAGCCAACGGACCCACACTCCCACTCCCTGTCAGCTGTTCATCTTCCTCCTAGGATTCAGACTCCGACAAGGGCATGACATAGAATAAGAGGGACATTTTGATCTAAAACCAGAAATATCTTTGTTGGGTATTATACCAGGAAAATATAATAAAGGGATTGTGTATCTAATACTACATGAATTAACAGTGGCTAGAATTGTATTTGCACAAGATTGGGAAAATGTGGAGGTCCATACAGAAGAGAATAAAAAAGATACTAGAATGGACAGAAATTGATAGATTAACACTTGAAATTAAAGAGAAGGAAGACACAGAATATTTTGAAATAGGGGATTTGTTTTATCAATGTTTAACTAACCGAAACAGAATTTAGAACACTTAAAATTATAAGAGAAGGACTAATTTTAGTATGAGGACTTATTACAATATGTTTATTGTTATGAATTAGTATTAATATATTATTATGATGAGGAAATACTGTTATTAAATGAGCACTACTAACGAACATTATTACTATCATGAGACGTTTATTGCTCAAACTAATTGTAACCAGACAGCACATGTTTATGTAGATGTTGAAATTGTCGCTCTTTCTTTATATAGCAAAAAAGGAAGGAAAAAACAGAAAATTAAACAGAAACAAGATGTAGAATATTTTCAAACGTGGAATCTTATTTTACCAACAGTTGGAAAAAAAAGGGGTGGAGATTAAGAATGTAAATTTGTATTGTTAAGAAAATCAATTACCCAGACAACACGATGTTTATTAAGCACTGAGAAATGTATTTAATAGAAAATCAATTTTAAAAGAAAAAAAAAATGTTGGGCTCGGTTGTGGTTGTAAGTCAAGGACGACGTTTTATGCACCAAGGATGGACTTGGATCTCCATTGAACAAGTCTGTCCAAGATAGCTAGGTTTGAAGGTCAGGCGGTGTCCAAAGTTGACTTGTTGTCTTTCTCCGCGGTTGTGTCTTCTCCAGGTTCTATGCTGACTTGTGGCAACCTCTTCTACCTGCTCTTGTTTGGATGGTGGCTCTCGCTACTCTACGTCTTGGTCTCTCTTCTGATGTTCCTCACCGTGCTGGGCGCTCCGTACGGTGAGGATGTGTGGTGACAAGTATCCTTGGAAAATGGCGGGGGGTGGTGGGTGGGAATCCTGGCTCCTCGGAGCAGGAGGCGCATGGAGGCATATGTGTCCATGCGTGTGCAAGCGATGATTGTCCCGGTAGTGGTATTCTACCAGTTCGGCCCAGTTTGACTGAACCGGTAGTAAAAAAAAAAAAATTGCTACCAGTTCAGCTGTACCGATATTTCCGATGATCAGCTGTGCCGCGTGATTTAGATTAGCTAGAACAGGGGTCGCCAACCTTTTGGACCTCAGGGACCAGATGACCAAACTCATCGTTTTAAATCCCGCGGACCAGAGACCCTGGGAAAATCCCCCCCAAAAGTCTGCAGAAAAATCCCCCACCCCGTTTTCCTACCAATCGATCGTTCTTTATTTGGGATCGTCTCCAGCTCCGTTCTCAGAGGGAGAGAGAGAGAGACTTTTGGCTTCATGCAAGGAAAGCAGCAGAAGCCGCAGAAGTCTTTCTTTCTCTCCCCCCAAACTCCACCAGAAATGAATCTTTGCAGCCTCTTGGAGCAGGAGGCCTTGCAGGGTCCCAAAGACTCATTTCTGGCGGAGTTTGGGGGAGAGAAAGAAAGACTTTGGCTGCTTTCCTTGCGTGCAGCCAAAAGCAGAAGAAGGAAGAAGCAGAAAGAAGCAGCCCGGTGGCCAGGCGCGTGGGGCAAGTTGCCCCCCCTCTGCCTTTTCCCCCCTCCCCTCACTCCCTTGTGTTGTTCACAATGCAAGCGACGCAAACCTTGTGTTCCCATGGGCCATGTGGGCGGCACAGACTTGTGTTCCCTCACAGCCTGGATTAATTGCTTTTTGGGGGGGGGACATTTCTCTGCGGACCGCCAAAATTTTCTCATGTACCACCAGTGGTCCCCGGCCCACTGGTTGGCGAACACTGAGCTAGAAAGCAGGAAATCATCCGATTTTTCGCTGTCTAGCTAATCTAAATTGTATTTACCCACCTCGCTGTGGTGCTTCTGTTTTTCAGCACCCAGGAGTCTTCCCTGAGACCCACTAGGCCAAACACGGAGTGCACGTAGCCATGCCCACCCAGTCACATGACCTCCTGGCCATGCCCGCCTAGCCATGCCCAGAGAACCGGTAGTAAAAAATAAATAAAAAAAATTGAATCCCACCACTGGATTGTCCATCCAAGGAGAAATATCTCCCATCTTTCTCCTCCATTCTCTTTGTTCAGAGTTTTGCAGCATAAATTCAGTGCCGGAAAAATACACTCAGATGACGGAGGCTTTATTTAACTTCTTTATAAACATATAAAGTAAATTTTACAATACCAGTGGTAGATTTCTCCCAACATGCAGCAAACTCAGACAGAAACAGACATCGGTTTCACTTTAGTTCAGCAGGCAAGCAAGACACACAGCAGAGGAGAGAAGCACTTTCATTAGACAGACTCAAAGTTCAACATCGCTTCAAAGCTGCAGAGCTTAATGTATAGCCACGCCTAGGCTGGTTTTAGTTTCAGTTTCCAGCCTAGGCTGCTTCTAGTTTCAGTTTCCAGCCTAGGCTGCTTCTAGTTTCAGTTTCCAGCTTAGGCTGCTTTTAGTTTCAGTTTCCAGCCTAGGCTGCTTTTAGTTTCAGTTTCCAGCTTAGGCTGCTTCTAGTTTCAGTTTCCAGCCTAGGCTGCTTCTAGTTTCAGTTTCCAGCC